ACAGGATCCTCTGCTAATTTTGATCCAGTCCTGCTTTGCAAAGATCCTTATTTCTTGTGCAAACAGAACGTGGTCTGATCATAACATTACACACAGAGATGTCAGCTGACAACTGGGCAGCACTGTGACTGACTGTACTTTGCTGCTTGAAGCAGTGGAATTTAGAATAAAGCTACAGATGTTGGCATTAGCCTCCAGTACCAGACTTTAGGAATAAGCTTCGACCAACCAACATCACAGAGAGCAGGATACAACTGGCTTCTCCCCCCGCATCCACCTCTGCTTTAAGCCCCTCTCCCCCAGACAGTGCCCATGGGCTCCAGCTCACATTGCAAGCTTGCTGGGGTGTTAGCGGGTTGCAGCCAAGCACTATAGAAGTGGATCCCGTGAGATTAGAGGGTGAGTTAAAAGGAAAAAAACAAAAATATTATCCTGAAGAGTTATTAGCCTCTTAAAGGGTGATAAGGCAACAGCCCTCTTGTTTTAGCTGGCACAGATCTTCTGAAGTGGGAGTTCTACTGGAGACAAGACTAAAATATACAGGAAAGCTCCCAGTATAGTGCAGCATGATGTGTGTATCCCACAAAAGAAGGGGCTCTGCACCTCCCAGCCCTGCAGAGAGCAGGTGCACGTTCATCAGAAGCTGGAACGCGCACGGTTGTACAGCAATTTTGTTATAATGGGCTGGGGACTGTGGGGTTAGAGCTTATTTATTTTCTTACAGGTGAGGTGGAGTCAAAGGATTAGTTTCTACCCGATACACACACACAAGAGGACAGAGAGTCTTTCCTCGATACTGCAGCCTGTACCAGGGTGGATTTCACACATCTTCGAAGGCCTAAAGTACACATGTTAGCAGTGAGTTGTGAAATCTTATACCGATGCCACCATCGTGGGAACGTTTCAGGGCTTTTCCATGAAATAAGAGGAAGAAAATACCTATCAAAAAAAGCTGACTGTCAGCTGTTGTCCTGGCACCAGTCTAGTTATTCCCACCTCACAAAAATCTGGCTGTGCTCTCCCTAGCCTGATGTAACCTCGGGCTATGTGTAGCACCAGCATTAGTAAACAGCTGGTGACGAGGCCTCTGCGTGAGTGCAGCATTCCAGTTTAATCATTACATCATGTACCAATCACTTGGGTTATGACTTTGATATTCCACTGACACACCAGTCACCAGCCTCTAGCATTCGTGCGACCAGGGCATACGCAGCTCTAGGGGAAGACTCCCCACAGCCCGTACTGTACAGCTCACTGCCAGAGCTCACGCTGGCCAGTAGCAGGGAGGGTGCCCTGGTAAAACCTCGATACAGATTGCCCCCAAACTATGCCACACTTCATTTGGCACTGTCACAGCCAGCTGGGTGTCCCTGGCAGATGAGTGCTGTGGGTGAGGTACAAGGATGCAGGTGGAGTGCAGGTTGGATTAATTTAAGTTGATTATTTGTGAAAAAGTAAGTAAACCACATCAGCCTCACTTCTCCCTCTTCTCCACCTCTCCCCAAGAAGTCTCATAATTTTTCAGGGCCACAACGGTCCCAGATAACTATAGCTTTACACTATCCTTTACTCCAGCCAAAGCAACTGCGCTTCCATTCTGAGCTGGTGGCTTTTTCACTGCCACCATGCACAAATATAAACAACTAGACAGGATATTTGGCATTGGAAAGTTTTCACAGCACCTCAAGCTATCAAAGAGCTGCTGAGAGGTGATACTGGGGGAGGCGGGGGGAGCTGGAGTCACAAGGAAAACTTTGGCCTGGGTATAGATACATGGAGTTATTGGATTCAGCATGGCTAAGTTTAGCTTCTGCTCTTAGGTCAGTTCTTATTTAGCTTGTGCTCTTAGGTCAGTTCCTAAAACCTCAGCATGTAGCAGGGGCTGAGATGTAACAAAGCTAGAAACAGGAGAAGAGTTAAAATCCACAGTGGAATGATGTCACAGCAGAGCTGGGGAAGGTTGGTGCCAGGTAAGGATCAATAGCAGAACCAGAGCAGACAGGGGAAAAACAATCTCATAGGGCATACAGATAGGTCAGAGTCAGCCAAGAGAGAAACATCAGGACATGGTCAGCGAGTGCAGGAACAAGTTCAGGTGCCGCTGCAGCTACACACACAGAGGAGTTACCCAAGCAGACACAAGAACAGGGCAACAGGAATCATCTTGTTCTGCCAACACCGGGTGCTAGTTTAGGACACACAAATTATAACACAGGCTCTCGATGACAGCTCTCGATGGAGCAGGGCTTTCTCTGCTGATGCCAACAGGTCATGGACAGCTGAGGAACTCTAAAGCGTAGCTCAAATGCCTTCCCAAGTGATCTTAACCAGCCAAGAGCTCAGGCACTGCCAGCCTGCATCGTTTTGCAGTCCATCTGACAGCTACTGTGTGGCCCTGCACCCGTCCCTCGAGTCACCGTGTCCCCTGCACAGAAGTGGATGCAATGCCACGTGAGTCACTTTCCTGTTGCCTCTCAGTTAAGACCAAGGACCACAGCACTGTGCTGTTACCACACGCGGTGAGGAAGCACACCTGGAACATCTCTGCATCTTGCAAAATCTCCTCTTACTGTGCATTTGATCTAAAGGCTGGCAGCAGCCTTTTCACCTCACGTTTGCACTGGAAGCAGGGAAGCTGCAGGTGATTCATGGACTGGCTGCACAGTGCCCCAAGAGCCCAGCTTGTTCAGGCACCCAACCACAGCACAGCAACACAGCCAGAATTTCGTGCAAAATGCACCTGTGCCTCATCACACCCAGGGAAGAGAAGCAAAGGATGCAGCCTCTGGGCAGTGACTTCTTGCCTCTGCCTGGTGCCTCCAGGTGCGGTCTTGATGACACAAAGCTAGGGCAGAAATGCTGATGAGCACGGTAAGCCCAGCTGCTGCATCCACGCAGTCGGAGGCTGCCCTTCCCACAGACAGCAGCATGAGTCACGGGCAGCAAGGTGCAGCGGCCCAGCGGCTCCCGGTCTTTGTACGTGCCTGGAGTCATGTTCCCCAAATCACACCCCCTCGCACAGTGCAGCCACAAGGAATTCACCCCACTTTACGCTACTGTTCTGACTCACCCCGGGGATCTTCAGGGCCAGTACAGCAGCAGCCTGGACCAGGCAGCCGGTGCCTAAAGCCTGGGCGCTGAGGTTCTTCCTTCCTATCTGCCTCCTGTTACCAGCACAGCCTGAGACTTGACACAACACACCCCACCCAGCCTTGTCTCCATCGTCATGCAGGACAGCACAACTGTTCTGCCACATGGCTCAGATTTTGCATGTGGGATAGAAAGGAAACTTGAAAAAAAAATAAATAAAAAGCAGTAAAACACACGTATGTCTGTTTTTGTTTTACAAGCCAAACAACCAGAGTCACTGCCAGTCTGGTGACAGACCACCAAAATCATTACTTCTCTTAAAAAGAGGCTGTTCCATTTCACTAGAAAAAATCAGTTCCCCATGATGGAAGTGATAACACCAAGCTTTCAAATGCTGCTACAAAAACTCAAAGGCTGCAAAGCGTGGAAGGCACCAGGACCACCCATGGAGGGGTCACAGCCACCACACACAGCAGCTCTGGCCAGGCAGGTGCTTTTCTCTTCTGATCTTGCGCATGGTCAAGCATAGGAGCACAGTGCCCATTACCAGCAAGACACAAAGTCCAACAGCCACTGAGTCCTGTTGAGTACTCTCAGCTGCCCAGCCCTGCAAGTTCTTGCTGTCCCCACACACAAGAAGGTGGCAGGCATAAGGCTCCACAGAGCAGCTTGACCGGCACCCAGGCAGGAGCATATGTGACTGTGGAGAGATGCTCAAGAGGAGACCTCTGGCCCATAGCATGGAAAGGACGTGCTGACAGGCTGCTGGGCAACACGTTACTCATGCCTTTGTGTTCCCGGCTGAATGAGTGTTTCCGCAGAACCTGTGCACATGCAAGTCCTCCCTGCCTGCTGTCCTGGCACTCGGCTTTGTCTTCTGGGGCCTCACACGGAGACAGCCTGATCTGACACACAGATGCTCTCTCTGAATTAAAGAGCTGGCAGAACTTGCTTATCATATTTGCCAGGGCACCACAAGGCAGACAGGCATCGCTTAGCAGGTGTGCAAGTCATTTCTTGGCTTATTAAGTGTTTTTTTCCATAACATTTTGTTCTAAATAAATATCATCGTGCTATAAGGTGGTGATCATTAGTGTGTTCTGCTCCTCATCTTGAGCAATTAGTAAAGGACAGATCTTCAGGTCTGCTGAGCTAATCATAGCAAGGCTTAGCAAGGGAAATGGCATACCTAGGTTATCAAACTATAGGGAGAAGAAAGCAGGCTTTTATTTTGAGACAGCCGAGAACTAACTAACCAGCCTAAGTGGACATGATTTCAAAAATCACAGAAGGAGTAGAGTTACTCTTAAGCCAGAATCTCTCATATTAGTACAAGAAAACCAAACACATTGGCCCACATCTACAGCTATTTTTAAGTACCAAAGCAGTTCTCAATACCAGAGATACTACAGTACCTCAGTACCAATGCTACAGTCTGGTACGGTTTTAGTACCAGAGGTACTACAATATAAATACCAAGATTTTCAGCTGCTTGCTAGAGGAAATCTCTCCAGGAATCAAAGTTCTCCTCAGGCAAAGACACAGTCTTAACAAACATTTTTTTTTTTCCCTTTCCCAGCATAGCCATGTTTAAAGCAAAGTCTGCCAATATTTGTCACTAGCAAAAGGATCTGCTTGGTATGATCTACCTCTCAGGGTGATTCCTTAGACGACAGCAACCAGACTTTTTAGCAATTTCAGGAAAATATAAATCACATTTTCTTATATAACAGCATGAAACATTTTGTTTTCCTCTGCGTTAGGCATCACATTTGGTAGCTCCTTCACTCACAGCAACACTTAAACGTTCAAAACAGTGAAATGAAATGTAAGATTCCTACACATAACAAAAACTGTAATAGAGAAAGAACCCAATGAAGGAGGAGCATCCTATCAACATAGCTACTTACCTCTCTTTCTCCACACAGATCTCACATGATGAGTGGCTGATTAATTGCTTTGAGTGGAAGGGCAACACACACATCTTCCTGCCCTAGAGCAACCAAGAACCTAAACATAACCGCCACTAGCCTCCTTTTTGCCTTGTTAAGGATTTGGATGAGTTGAGCAGTAGCTGGGGCCCCTTTCTCTCTCAGATGAAGACTATTAGTAACAGCTGCAGGTGCAAAGCCCTGCCCTTGGCCACAGCAAAGAGCAGCAGTGCTGCTGGGGAGCTGGCCACTCGCCCTCCAGTAGTGCACACTGGGCTCTCCCAGCTGGCTGGCAGAGGGAGGACGTGGTTCCTGTTTGTGCTGCGTGGTCCTATTCCAAACTTCGCCACTATGAAGCTTCTTGTGCTGTTATTACATTTGGGAACCTGCTGCTCCCCATCTTCAGAAAGCAATCCAGCTGGTTCTGGTCCTTTCTTAAAGTTTGGTTGCAGACCTTGTTGTAGCTCACTTTGCTGACAAGTAGGACATGAATTTCAGCCTGCTCCCCACCCCTCCCTTCTAAACTCCAGACAATACTCTAACACCATCTGGTTTGGGGTTTCTCAAGCAGGTGAGATGGTGCTTCAGTGTCTGCATATGTTCTGCAGCTCTTGCTTTGCTGTTAGTACTTCCTGACGCTAAGTTTGGGCCTGCTGGAGGATTTGTGGTTATCCTCTTGCTAGCAGTGTCTAGGCTTTAGCAGAAAGGAATCTATAACATCTAGGCGTCAAATAAACAATGCAAACAGTGTTTGTTATGGACACCCTGTGATGACGTGGGCAAGAACAGCTGCAAGCAAGTCAGGTCAAAACTTCATCACTGTAAACTGATGAAGCTTTTCTGACACCACAAATCTCCAGAAATTCTGGAACTTGGTTCCAACTGACCAAAGCTGTACTCGGGCTATTTCCTGTGATGACGGAAACTTTCTGTTCTTCAAATGCATTGTCTTTCATTTTCTATGTTGCATTTCATTTTTCATGTCTCAAATATGGGCACTACTTTCTGTTTTCCAGTCATGTGGTGCCTGCCCCATTTTGATATATTTACATTCCTTACTTATGAACTCTTGCTGCGTCTGTTCTTTCACCTCTCTTGACACGAGCACAGGAACTCTTAAATCTGTGCTTTTGTTTCAGATATGGATTTTTATTTTTTTAACAGTCATAACAATCACCATCCTGTTTGTTAATGGTTTGCATCTAAGCCATCTTGATGCTTATATCACTGCTTGGAGTCTCACTTCTTTCTTGATCCATTTTTTTTATTTGACTAGAAGGCTTCTTACTGAGTTTTTAATCTAAAAAATTCTCTAAGCTCCTGCAACAATCCTCCACACTGTCTCCTCAGTCTCTGCGTACTATGTCTGCCTTTAACCAAGATAAAATCCAGTCTGAAACTGAAGTTCTGATTCCTTATGGAGAAATTCTTTATGGACCAGCACTGGGGAACCTCAGTAATCAGTCAGCAATAAGGAATGTGACAGAGGCAGGATGACCAGAGCCACCGAGGCCAGCCCCTGCCAGCAGGGTCAAAACCGCCCACAAGCTCAAAGTAGAGCTGGGTTCTAACCGACTGAAGCTATACTCAGGCTATTTAATGCGATGCTCCTGAAATGGAAACTTTATGTTCTTCAAATGCATTGGATGGAAAGGTACAGTAGGTAATAGGTACAATTGACAGACATCGCATGAGCTCTGTTGCAGTTAAACCCCGATAAAGTGGTTCCTTTGCTGTTGCTGGTTCAAAAGTGGAAGTAAGGGTGCAATATAAAAAATTTGCTGCTCCAAAAGTTAGGATGTTCTTGTCAACATCCAGACTATGCTACTCATGTCCATCTAATGCTCACGTACTTCTGTGCCGATTCAATTTGAACAACAGCTCCCTTCTTTCTCTTCCTCCCTCAGTCACCAGGATAAACCCCATGATGTAAAACAGTCCCATTCCCATTTACACAAACTCAAAGTGAGAATGAAAGGGCAAGTTGGCAAAAACCATACTGCAGAAGATCACTTCTGTCTATAAGACTAAAAAGCCAAAATGACGATACAGGGTTTTCTTCAGAGGACTTCTCAGTAAACCACCAGGCCACTGGGAACTGATAGCACATGAAAATGCTCTTTGGATCAATGGATTACTTTTTTCTTTTTTCCCCACATGTAACTAGTTCAAATACTAATCAAGTCTGTCATGACTTAAAACCCATTCCTACCAGTAATCTTTAGGATATGAATCGGGCACACTGCAAAAACAACCATTACAACTGATAATGGTCAGAACTGAATCAGCCGCAGTGGTGAAGTGGACCAGCAGCAGCAGCTGAAGTTCTGTCAATCAGAAGAATCCTCGAGACTGCTAAACTTTTCTTACTGTTGATATGCAAACCATCTAAACATGGAGATTTGCTTCACTGCCTTGTTTATCACCTGTACAGGTCCTTTGTATACAAATTCTTCATTGTCCTGTATACAGAGACTTCTATTTTTTAGCCTGGTGTCCCTTTAGTACTGTATCTCTCAGAGTTAAGGGTTGTTCTCTTTAAAGTACTGGTAAATCCTTTGCCATTTGTTCTTTTTGCTCAGGACTGCATTTACCCCCAAGAGTAAAAGCGGTTAGCAATGAAAGTGCATTCCCTTCAGATGCAGCAAACATCCAAACACACCACTGCCTACTCTGCCATGCATCGTTCCTGATCCCCAAGCTCCTGTCTGGAAGCTCTGACAATGCCACTTCTGTATTTGCATGTGTTTGAACTAAGGACATCTGGGTATTGATATGTGATATGTTCATATCTGAAGGCCTGTAAATGCTGTAAGAATTGGATTCAACAAAGAAATAATGGTGATGCACATCAATATGGCAATGTGCGTATCAGAGGAATGGTATTGATTTACATCACTTGAAAATGTTTGTGGCATTGTTTGAACTTCACCTCCAACCGCAATAGCTGTAATATTTACTGAAGCCTCAGGGAAAAGAGACATACTTGTTTTTTAGAATCTCATCTGCTCATTGGAGAGAGAGAAAAGCGGTGCCAGGCTGATGGAGGAAGATGTGGTATTTGAAAACAAAGCAGCAGTCCTCCTGTCCCCGGTCAGTACTTTCTGAATAGAACAACTTTTGGGAAAACCCAGTGCGTGTCCTCAGCATATTGAATCAAATAACAGCCCGAAATGCAAGATGAAGCTAATGATGGTTTCAATCCACTGCTATGTGTCATGCCAGCCCTGTTGTTGGTTACTCCGGCTCTGTGGTGATTCATTGTTATCCTGAAAAACAGGCAGCTCTGGCACTCTGTTAGTCACCTGGCACTAACATGGAGAATTGCTCTGGGGAAGCACGGCACACACTGCTGAAGAGAAACTAGGCCTTCCTTTTCCTGCAACCTAGGAAAAACAGTTTCAGGATACAACAAGTAAAGCTACGGCTGGCTTTTCCTCCTTCCTAAAGGTTACCAAGCCAAAATAATAACAATTGCTTAACGGCAGGGAGAATTTTACATATTTTTTTTTTATAATTAACAGACTACAACCATTATCTTCCATTTATTTTTCCCTTTGTCACTTTTAAACTGAAGTCTGTTCCTTTTTTTCCCATCTCCTTTTGTTTCTCTCCTGAACCTACATCTTCTTCCTTAACAGTTAACTCCATTGCTGCGCCACGTCCTCCCTCATACCTATTTGAGCATTCCTGTGGTTTAGTTTGGCAGGCTGTTCTCCGTGCCTTACAAATGCAAGCTCCAACACTAACAGAAACTAAATCTTCTCCTTAGCATCCACCTGCTCTCCTTAGCTCCTACATGTATGTGCTTTACTCACATAGCCACATCTCCACCATCTGCAAGATACCTCTTCTTCTCAGCCCCAGCAAAGATGAAAGCTTGAAACCAATAAAATTCTTAAAGTCTTGCTGCATATGCCACAATTTCAAAAATAGTCTTTCCTCAGGCAGTGCTCCTAATGATAGAGCAATATCCCAAAGTCTTTACACAAGAAAATCAGGGACTTGACTTCAAAAGGAGTTTCTGACCTCACCTAATTGATCTGGGTGTAGCAGCACTGAAGGGAGCAGAAACCTGCAGCGTTCAACTGGCGTGGGTTCTGAATCAGGTCCCTAAGGGTTTTAGCTTTAGGCATTGGCTCTTGACTGCAGATCTGGGCTGGCTATGCAGCAGAGTCTTTCAGAAATACCATTAAGAATGCACTGCAATGGAAAGGAGCTATTTTTCTCCCTTAGTCAACGAGCATGCAGTCACTTCCCAGTAGTGTATTTTTTATTTCTTTATGCAATTTTCCTTAGCTGTACTAACAGATCAGATATTTGTTGCTTCACTTGCAAGACTGATGTATACTCTGGCTCATTTTTCAGATGGATAAAATTCAAATCCTTGGGAAAGTTGAAGAGGCAAGATTTTTTTTTTTTACTGGTATCACTAAGAACAGAACCTAGCAAGAGCTTCTTCACCTTATCTTTTAGGCTCTGATTTGTCTGTCGCTGTTTGTGCTTTTGCCTGATAGAGGTAATGCAGCTACAGCCAACTGTTTCAATACTTTTATTAACTATGTACTTGGTGTTTTGCTCAAATTGCCTTGATGTTAGCAAGAAAAATTTTCCAGAACTAAATATGAAAAATATACACTTGGTGCAATGGGATGCAGAGGACTGACTGAATGCACAGATGAAACTGGTTTAATTTGATTGAAAAAACACAAGCGTGTAACTGCGTGGGTGTGTGGCGTGGAGGGCTGGGAGGACTCAGAGTCGCCCCCATACCTGTGAGCCGGAGTAAGGTAGGGAAGGTGACCGAGCAAAGCACAAATGGAGAGAGTGGGAAAGGAAAATTAAGGAGCTTTAGGCTCTGTTAACATTGACCTTGTGAGGGGTCATCCAAGGTAAGTCAGAGAGCCCATCGTGCAGGGCAGGGGAGAAGGGCGTGCGACATACGGCATGGGGGGCCAGACGTGGCAGCCACGCAGTCGATGGCACCCACAGCGAACGTGGCAAGGCACAGGGAGCACCCACCGCAGCCCGTGTGTTCCACCCTGTGATAAGGAATGGGAAGGTGGGTAATGGTTGGAGGGGATCCAACAGGAAACTAAAGAACAGACCGCATCTAATCGTTCCATGCGCTCTATTTACAAAGGACAAACACAGCAGCGAGAAATACTTGTATATTGCCTCCACCCCCAAAACGAACAACTCTGTGATCTGTGCCCACCTCCTGAGCCACCAGGACCTGCCCAAGGCCGGTTTGCAGCCGTGTGTCCGGGACCCGAACAGGGCAGGTAGCCCTGGGCCCATCCCCACAACGCGCAGCACCCACCCCAAGCCCCCGCTCCAGCCTGGCTGCAGCACCAGGGGAAACGCACTCGGTTTGCCGGGTCCTGCACCATCTCCTTGAATTTACGTGGATTTTATGGCGCCGATGCCCACCCGTGCACCTGACCCTCAGCTCCCTTGATGCCAGGCGCTGCTGCTTCCCCCGTTTAACGCCGGCCCCATGGCGGAGCCGTGCCCCCCTCACAGGCAGCTAACGGCCGCCGCCGCGCCCCGCCTGACGCAACCCGCGCCCCGCTTTGCCCCATGCGCGGCGAAACACCCCGCCCGCCTTGCATCACCCGCGGGGCAGCCCGGCTGAGATGAGCCGAGCCGAGCCGGGCTGGCCCCGGCCGCCAACCGGGGCCGTGCGGGGCGGGGCGGGGCGAGGCGGGCCCGGCTCCGGCCTTTAAAGCCCGGCGGCGGCGTGTGCCGCCTCAGCAGCGCCCGGCGCCGCCATGAAGCGGGATCCGCAGCGCCCTCAGGAGTGCCCCGGCCGGCCCCAGGGGCAGCCCGAGCCCCCCTCTTCTCCTCCTCCTCCTCCTCCTCCTCCTTCATCCTCCTCCTCCCCCCGGAGCCGCCGCTGTGGATCTTCGGGTACGGCTCGCTGGTGTGGAGGCCGGGCTTCGAGTTCACGTCGCGCAAGGTGGGCTTCATCCGCGGCTACAGCCGGCGCTTCTGGCAGGGGGACACCTTCCACCGCGGCAGCGAGAAGGCGGTGAGGCCAGGGGGCGGCCCCGGGGGGGCGGCTGTGGGGCGGGGGGGCTCTGCCGGGCTCGGCTGCTGACGGCTCTCCCTCTGCTCTGTCCCGCAGCCCGGCCGGGTGGTGACGCTGATGGAGGATGGCGGGGTGAGTACGGTGCTGGATGGGGGCTGCGGGGTGGGCTCGGCCACCGCATCACTCCCCTTGGTGCCCTCGGTTCGTGGGGATCCCCGGGTGAGGCGGGCTGGGGGCTGCTGGACGTGCCCCCCTTCCATCACCGCCCCAAACTGACCTCCCTGCTCTGTCTTCGTTGCAGGCGTGCACGTGGGGTGTCGCCTACAAGGTGTGCGGGGAGCAGATCGCTGCGTCGCTGCAGTACCTGAACATGCGAGAGGCCGTCCTGGGGGGCTACGACACCAAGCTGGTCAAGTTCCACCCGCAGGACAAGGATGCAGAGGAACCCATCCAGGCTCTGGTTTACATTGCCACCCCCCAGAACCCCTCCTACCTCGGCCCAGCGTCTGAAGAAGACATCGCAGCGCAAATCATGGCCTCAAGCGGTTGTGCTGGCCACAACATAGAGTACTTGCTGAGACTGGCAGACTTCATGCGCTACTTCTGTCCTCAAGCGGAGGATAAACATCTCTTCTCCATCGAAGAGGCTCTCATTTCTATCCTCCCCTGCATGTGCCACACAGAGGACACCCTAGAAGAAACTTCAGGTGTCCCTCAGAAGACCAAGAGCTGAAACGAAAGCATCTTGCAGGGCTTCAGTGAAAGGGACATAAGGAAAAAACAGTAGGGACAGTCTTAACTCTGAAAAATATACTAGACTGAGTGAATGAAGGGAAAGCTAGCAAGTGGGTGGGGAGGGAGGAAATGGAGGGGCTGTAAAACGTGTTTGCTGTAGGACTTGTGATTAGGACCTGTTACACTCCTTACTTGTAGCACCAAGACAGTCATCACGGCTTTCCAGGTGGGAAGCAGGGGTCTTGGTTGGAACTTTGCTGTATGACTTGCTTTTGGGGGTCAAACCTGAAGCATTCATCTTCTTAAGAGGGGAAAGAGGCTCATTGACTTTGCACTTTTTTTTTTTTAACTTTGAAGACTAGTTGAGCAGGACTTGACTGGGTTTTAGCAGTATATATGCAATTCTACCTCAGGCAAAAAGCTGTTTGTGTCGTGGTGACTTAAGCAGGTTCTGCCAAATTTCCCCCTTCCCCCCCCCCCCTCCAACCCCACCTCCAGTGCAATATTAAGTGAACCTTGCCTTAAGTGGCCTCTGTAGGCTCTTGTGAATCCTACTTCCTTATGTTGTAAAGGATCACACTAATGCATTTATTTTTCTAAACTGTTGTGTTGTGTTTATTTATATTGCATATCCCCCCCTTAGGAGATATGTCTGAACTGCCTGCTTATGTGCCACTGTGTGTGTAGCCCACATTCAACCTTGCAATTGTGCCTTTGAGTTTTAGATCAGTTTTCTGAGGAGCTATGCCTGCTTTAATGACAGAAGCTGTTCTCCAAGCTTCACTGACCTTGTGCTGCTACGAACTTTATAAGAAATGGTCCTGTTGTAGCAACTCTGTACTGTCTGGAGGAAAGCTGCCTGGATGCAGCAGCACTTTAACTAGCCCTGTATTAGATAAGCCTCTTCTGCTTCAGGGTAACACAGGTTTCTGGTGAAGCATTTGAGGGTTCTAGTTCCACACCTAGGGCTGAGTCTGTCTGGTGCATTTTTACTTGACTGCAAAGGACCGTCACCGAGCATACTTGCAAGTTTGGGAGTTTCTGAAATGCCTGCTCTATCACGTGAAGCATAGGTACTGCTGCAAGCTCAGGCTTCTCAGCTTTAAACATACTAACAGCTTTAAAATCCATCGTATTTCGAAAGAAAACCGCTGCTGCTACTACAACTAGCAAGAGAGCTGTTGAGAGCTGACCTCTGGGATGTTTGACTCCTCCCAAATACTATGTTTTTTTTAATAAAAATAGGGAATGTTTATATTACTGTGGCTTATATGTATGAACTGATGCTGTGCCCAGTAATAAACTGACAAAATAAATGATTTTTTTGTACTTTTTTTCAATTAGTGATTTCAAATTGATCCTGATTTTTAATGTGCTTGGCTTTTTTGTTTTGTCTGTTTTTTAAACTTTGCTGGTAATACTGCTGTAGCCCCCCCCCTTTTTTTTTTTTAAAGTCTTATTTCTGAGCAGCTTCCCTCAGCTGGACCTACCAAAAGATGTACATTTGAATCTTTCCCTTTAAGAAAAGTGGGTTCAGTCATTTTCTCAGCTTCCAGCTCTTGTTGACTCTGGAGTACTAGTACTGACAACAAACAAGCCAGCCCTCCTGACTGTACAGAGCAGGCACAGAAATGTAATGCTCCCTTGGCAGGACAAGGGCCTTTTGCCTGAGTTGAACTTACCCTTGCTGTTTCCAAGAAGTAATAGTGCAATGACAAGAATCTGCCACCCCCAGCTGGCTCTGCTGACTGCAGTGGAGGAGAGGTGTTTTTATTTTTTTCCTTGTTTTGTGCACAGTTGCTGCATACAGGGGTAATGGGCAGCTGCCCTTTTGCCTGATTTCTCTTGTGACCAGCTGCTTCAGCACACAGATTACAGTATATACCTGTACTGCCCATCTCAAGATAGGAGGGAGGGAGTGAAAACTAACTGAAACAACTTAATTTACCACTAATTAAAGGCAGGTGCATGTTTCAGAGGGGTAATAGTCTAGAGAAAACTACGCTTTCCCTGTTCCACGGAGGCTCTCACTTCACCAGAGCAGCTGCAGAAGAGCAGAGTCAGCCTTCAGCTGTATGTAGGCAGCAGGAAGCCTGCTCTCACCTCTGCTGCTGCCAGCAGTGCCCTTGTTATGTGCCCTTGCTGCTTTGAGCAACATCCTCTGTTTGGGACCATAAGACAGCTTTGCAATAACTCACAATGCCTTTCTGGAGATGCTTACGTGTACAGCTGGAGATGTCCTGTGAGAGAAAGTGGTACTGCAGCCACTGGCTATTTTTATTTTTAAGTCACTGCTTTGTGGAGAAATCCCCCTGTTCTCACTCCCAGCTGTAATCTTCCTGGCTCTTAATTGCTTTGGTCCTCACCAGGATGGTCTGAAAGCTCATTGCTTCCCTGGCTTTTCAGCCTCTCTGGTTTGCTAGTATCTGCCAGCTGGAAAATTAAAGTGTTAAAGGAATTAACTTAATTAGCAGGGAAACACTCCCATATTAGTACAAGATTGAGGTTAGATATCAAAATATCTCCACTTAAAACAAAACAAAACAAAAAACATCTTCACCCCTTTCAAATTTTCAGATGCAAAGTCATTGCAGACAGGAATTAATAGCAGATGTGCAATAAGCACCCAGCATTGCTATTTCATATGGAGAGATGCTTTGTTCCTCCTGTGGCAGGCAGCAAGTGCTTGTGAGCAACCGCATCAGTGCTGGGAACGTTCCTTCAGCTCCTGTTTCTTCTTCCCTTGAAAAGTTAAGTATTTAAAGCACAGATGTAATTCTCCACCAACCTACCCTTTCACTACAGGGGCAGCAGGGTGTGATTCAGCTGGAAACAGCCCCAATTCCTGACAGCTCTACCACAGGTCTGGGGAAAAGCACTTCACCTGATCAGCGGCTGATACAACTGCCCACAGGTGCAAAATGCTGCCGGACATCCCTGGAGGTGCTTCCATATTGAGTGGCTTCCTTGCTCGTCCACAGTTTCCTTTTCTCTGCATTCCAAACAGCAAGTTCATGCCTATCGGGTCCCCTCACATAATAAACCAACTTTCCCAGTTGCCATAAAAACATGTTTACAAGCACTGTCACACACTTCCAAGTCTAAAACCAGTGCAATTCACATGATTTCAGTCCTTTCTTCAACCTTTTCCATTCTTTTGCCCAGGAGCTCCCACAGAGCCCTGGAACACAGGCCTGAGTCATCATTTCCTTGAGTACAGCAGGACCAACTCAGCTGTTTCACAACGGCACAGCCAGCTAAGTAAAGTAGACAACAACTGTTAATCCAGCCCTTCGTGTGTATGAAACACTCCTGAGGGCACACGGTCCTTCATGGAACAGGACAGAGAAACTCAGAAACGTTAAAAGCATTCAGAGAAGGCAAAACCACAAGAAAACCTCACTGTTTCTCTAGAGCCAGTTCCCTGCACAGTGTCACCAAGCTGTAAACCTACCTCTGCTCCATACACAATCCGAAACACAGGCTTCGAAGACCACCAAAGAGATGATGTGGGCTCTCAGTGCCAGAAGGAAGAAAGAGGGGCTGTTGAGTCGGTGAGGCTGACTTTGCATAAACCAGCCTGAATCATTCAAACAAAACATGCAGATACACCCGTGTATTTTGAAGCTTCTCCTTGTAACACGTTCCTTGCAGCTCGGTGCCAGAATGGTAGCACTGCCCATGGCCAAAACCCACAAGTCAACCTAAGCGTGGAAAGTCCTTCCTGGAACTTGAAGCTTTTATATCACATTCAGCTCAATGAGCAGAGCTTGGCTGGGAGACCTCCCCCCAGTCAGACTCCTCATTTTGGCACTGCCAGAGTTCACAAAAGCACATAGGTCAGCAGCACCAGACCCAAAGGGTTGCTCAGAGCTGACGGACAGGCGTACAGAAGGGCAGCCCCAAATACAAGCGGGCATTGATGTACCAGCAGCATGCAGCCCAGCTCAGCGGCACGTGCTCCCCTGGGCACAGGAGGAACAGGAAGGGACAAGAAATGTATTTACAGTTAGGCTGTGAAAAAACTATGCTTTGCTCGCTGCAAAAGCAGCAACCACCCGGCAGGCTTGGAATTTCCTATTAACAAGTTGCCTTGGCTTAAGCAGAAGCCTCCCCAGTTCACGTGCTGTATTAAAGTTATTAGAGAAGTCCCACATGTCTTTAAAACAGCATCGGGAGCAGGAGCGCAGGGAGGGAGGAGGGAAGTGGGCATTCCGGACAGCCCTGTGGAAGCTCTACATGCTGTGTTTACAAACCCCGTGTACTTTTTGTTTGTCTTTTGGATGTGTTTTATTCTTTCCCAGCTCCCTTTTCATCTTACAGTAGTGCCAGCCAAACTGATGAGTGTTTATGCTTTTGAATTCCTGAAGCACAGCCAGTACCTTGAACTCCAGAGAATGAGACTGAAATAACGTGGAAGGTCAGGGAAGTTCAGAGACACAGAGGTGCTGTTTTCCTAGCTGGGGACACCACACTGTTCCCAGGCCATACTGAGCTAGCTGCTCTGGGGACACACGAACAAAGACTGCTCTCTTACGTCCTCCTGTTTATGCTGCTTTTTGCCTCCCTCATCTCACTTTTAATGGGGCACATGTCCATGAATCTTCAATTAAAGCCCCTGGAGATCAGCTTGGCCCAAGGCTGACAGCTGAAGCCTGATAGCTGCTGGTAGTTGAAGCCCATCACCAAGAATATCAGTGAAGGGGAAGGTTTTATCCCAACTCTCTCACACTGCTGGCTCACAGGGCAGGAATGAGCCGCAGAGCGCTGCTTTGTCCACAAACAGCAGCTATTGCAGCACACAGAGATCTGTAACCGCTTCACCCACGGGAAGAAAAGTCAGAGGATGACTTTAGGAGAGGTTTCGTTTGCTGGTTAGCAAGCTCAACCTTCAGAGACATGACTAATGCTCGCTTGGGCACATGCTGGGTACATGCAGGTCAGCTCTGCCATGCAGTTTGGGTAGCGTGCAGAGCATCCACAGATGGCCTCTAGCTTATCGGACACCTCATGCCTTCTGCACAAAGCTGTTGCTCGTACATGACACGAGGTGCTTGCTGACTCTGCCTCGAGCTGGAGCTATGGACCTACTGACAATGGCAGCATAGACAACATTGAAATCATTTCACAAACTCGTATCCAGCCCGCTTATAGCAATTATAACCTCGTCTACAAACAGCCTCAGGGGCAACCACAACCAGCTTGCTGATATTAAACTCTGTCTACACAAAGCATATGTGACATTTGAAAACATTCGGAAAACAAACCGAAAAAGCAGCCTTTTATCCTCTCCTTGTCTAGACGGTACACCCGCGTTTCCAAACTCCAGGTCACCAACAGAGCACGTGATGCCCAGAGCGGTGAGGAGAGGCAGGGGCTGCTGGGGATGTGCTTACATTACCTCTGCTCACCCTGCGGGTACCGCACCAGGACGGTGCTGCTGGGTGCACTTTCACATTTTGGCAGGACAGGCGGGGCTGGAAGCGACCTCCCAGGACCGTGGCTGGCACGCTGTGACCGCTGGTGGTACTCGGGGTGGGAGATACTGTTACAGGCAGCGGGGGTCAGCAGCTTCATCCTCAGGATGCTTCTACTGACATCATGAGATGAAATCTTGTTATTTATTTTTTCTTCAGTGAGGTATACCCATTCCTTTAAAAACAACTGACCCCAAAGTGTATTTCAAACAGCCGGCAGGTTTTTAGATCATATATACATTCATTCTTTTGGTCTGCTTTATAAGAGTGTGTTCTTCTCCTTGGCATTCTTCTTTGCCAACACAATCCCATTTTTAGAGAAGGAAAAGAACAGGAATGCTCAGCTCTCCATGACAGACACTGCTTTTTATCTTCCCTCTGACATCGAATATTAGAGACTCTATTACTGGACCTTAGGCAGGAGCCAGATGAAATCATGTCTCTTGTTGCTAAACAGCACGGTAAATTCTGGCAGCATTGGCATCTCTAAACTACATATATATCATATCTATTCCTGGAAATGCGTTCTATAATTTGAGGACCCACGAGTTCAGGACAGAGGATAGAAACTAACTAAGGGACTAGCCTCATTTAGAATCAATACCCATGATTTTTTTTCCAGAAGATCCTTGCCTCATTTCATTTGATCCAAGGATGCTAAAATAAGCAGCAACTCAGTTCCTTTTTCTCCTGTATGGTTCTGCATTTATTTATGCAGACCTTGCTCCAAATGTGAGGAAACTGCTCCCCATTTTCACTTTTCTCTGAGAATTCACTACCTGCAAACTTTGAGCCTCACACCACCTTTGTGAGGAGGTGGTATTTCTATTTTACAGGTGGAGAATTGAGACATCGAGAACCTA